TTTTAATTTTATTGTCTTTTTTTTTTTCCTATGTTTTATTTATTTATTTATTTATTTTTTTAATTTCTAGGTTTGTAATTTGAATTGCTATGTTTTTTTTTTGATGTGTTATATTTTTATTTTAAATTTAATGAATTTTAAGTTTTTAAAAAAAATGCTATTTTAAATTATTTATTTTGTATATTAAAAAAATAACATAGTGGTAACTACCTTCTACCAAATGATAAGTTTTGCTAAAAATATGAGTGTTACCGGTTTTAGTTTTTCGATTTAATAGCCGGAACCACCACGAATGTTGCATACCCCGACTAGGTCTCGCTATGGTAGACATGACCACACCTGATTACAAATCATACCGTAAACCCACAAAATAAAACATCTGATGCTGCGAATTCTTCTAGGGCTTATGACCTGCGACTGATCTCTTCATTTACTCTTCCATTTCCCGATCAACGATTCTGCTCATTTTCCCGATGGCGCCACCGCCCGGCCTTTACTCCGGTACCAGCACCTTCGCTTTGGTAAAAATCTTCACAATTTCCGCTCACCGATTTAAACTCCGCGACTGTATATTTCTGTGTTTTTTTTGCGTCGATTTCGTGCAAACTGTTTGATTTAATTGCTTTCCTCTACCTTTAGTTTATTTGACATGAAAATAAATGTGATTATTTGTGTGATCTGTCTTTCAATTGATTATCCCGAGTTTAGCGTCTCATGTATCGGTTCAATTTTGATTTGATGTGACGTAGGTTGTGCTTGTTTGTGTCTTACTTTCTTAGATTTGCAGTGATTGTATTTTCAAAGAGTTAATCAGCATTTGAAACATTAAAATCAACGTTCTGTTGCATAGAAAACATTGTCCATTTGTCCTTTCGAAAATGATAAACGCAAATTCCATCTTACGATAATTGTGGAGTTTGTATAGATTGTGGAAATGTAAATTCACATAAGAAATCTAAAATCATTTATTTTTTCTGAATGCATTGTTCTTTTTTGCATTTCTGTAACAACAATTGCTAGAATACTTTCCCATTTTATGCACCAACATTTCATTCCACAGATGCTTATTTATGCAACAATGTTACACTTTTTTTTATTAAATTATGCAACAATGTTGTATTGTTTTACATTGTTGCAACCGATTATACTGGTAATTGGTAACATATTTTGTTTCTACAATGAAACGACATGTATAATGGGAAAATGGTTATTTGTTGTTGCATAAATGTGCATTTCACTTTAAAAAAAAATAATGGTTTACTTGCAATGAATATCCAAAATACTATGGTTCAAAAAGTCAATCGTTACACATTTTGCAAAGGCATATTATGGTTTTGGATTTTTGTTTATATGTGATATAAATGCTTTTCTTTTTGGCTTTATCTGTTTTTTATTTCTTGAGTCATGGGATTAAGATTAATTTGGATCTTGATATTACAGGTGGCACGTGTGTCAGCCTTCTCTGTTGGAGTAGTTTATGGTAGCATCAAGCTCAAATACCTTAAGGTAATAGTTGTAGTTGAATTGTATCAATAATCTTTCTTGATATTATTTATGCCCTTATCAATTTTGAAGAGTTGAATTGCTATATTTTATTGATTTACCCAGTAATTGTAATAATAAAAAATACTAATCTAGTGGCTAAATTGATGAAAGTAAGGTATACTTTTATGTATTCTAACATTTTTCTAAACCGTTTAAAAATTAAAATAAAAGCATTCATATTTTATCAGTTTAGCGACTTAACTAATAATGTTTGTGCTGTGATTTTTTCAAATAAATTTTTAAACACCGTTTTATTGATGCTTGTTAATTGTTATGCTTTTTATTTTTATTTTTTATTAACAGGCGAAGGCAAAGTCACAAAGAAAAGCCGAGGCAAAGGCACACCGCTAGAAGAAGTAAAATATGAAATAATTCTTTCGGTTTCTTATAGATATGATTTTGGCTGTTTTTTGGGTTAGAAGTATATTTTTGGTAGAAAATAATAAATAGTTGAGAACTTGAGATTTCTATCTATGGGCAAGAAAATGTCTTGAATTTATATCATCGGGTTAATGCGTCTCGATGCACTTGTAGTTTTTGAATTCATCTTTGTTGTGATCTTGATGCACTTGTAGGTTTTGAAAATAATAAATAGTTATCTCTGTTTATCTTATTATTTTAATCTTTAGCCTCTTTATTTAAAATACTTAGAGGTTGTTTGATAGTTAAGTGAGAGTCTGAAGTTCTAACTTAATTTTCCGTTTAGTCTATCCATTGAGTTTATTGGGTGAGAGACTTAACTAGTTCTGAAGTTCTAAATGAATCTTTCTCATAGAAACCATGTTGTTTTATTATACCTCTAACTAAGTGTGCTAAATGCAGAATAAGACAATTTTAGTAGGGATGGCAAAAGAAACCAAACCCGATGGTGAAAACCAAAAAACGATTTATTAGGATCGGGTTTGGGGTCGGTTAATCGAGGTCGGGATTGGGTTTTATATGATTTTAGAAAAATTTTGTGGGTTTGATTATGGGGATGGTAAACAAAATAATCGTTCAGATTACCCAAAACCAAAACCCGTTACTTGAAACCGTTCATATATATATATATATATATATATATATATATATATATATATATATATATATATATATATATATATATATATATATATATATATATATATATCCTTGAGTTATCTTTTTGTTGTGAATGATTTAAAGATAATTTCTTGAGATAACTTCCTGTTTATTTGTAGTGCTAGTGTTTTTGACATTTTTTTTTTATTCATAATACTTAGAGTAATAGTGATATTATGGTTTATAAATGCTAGTGCCTTTATTTATTTATTTTTTGCCACTAGTAACCACTTATGTATCAGAACAATTATGTCTGCTCTTAATGGTTTTGTAAATTATCAAAATTATTTTGGATATGAATTTATGCATGCATCGCTAAGTCTAATGGTTTTGTATTCTCATTGCATCAAAATTATTCTTAATTTGAATTTTAAACTGGGATCTCCGTTAACCTGTTGGGATACCCGCAGACCCAATAGTGTTTGGTAAACGGGTACCCGTTGGGAATCGGGTCGGTGATGGGATCGATTTTCAAATTCGGGAACGGGGGCGGGATTACCAAAACCCGTCCCAAACCCGTCCCGTTGCCATCGTTTTGTGATGATTAAAATGTTTCAGTTGATAAAATATCCGAATAAAGTTGCTATATAATTATAAGAAAAATACAACATAACATATATAAGAAAAATACAACATAACATATAAAGGAATTGAATGAATAAGGTAATAGAATGAATTATTACCAATCCATTGTTATATTTGATTACATTTATGGAATGTAATGAACAATTACTTCATGTTGTTTGGTAGACAAGACACATGCATTGAATGGAATGAACATGATTAATAATGACAAAAATACCATCTTAAAACAAATACATATATTTATAATCTTTTACAAAGTTATTTCATAAAAACATGTTTTATATTGTTATAAATAAATATTAAATACTTATAATGAATTATCTAGACCTTTGAATCGTTGCAAGTGAAGTATAATGCAACCTAAATACTTGATATTCTAGCATCCATCTCATTATGATTCTAAGGAGATTTAACACCGTCATCCTGCTCATTAATATGGTTACACAGTTTAAGCTACATCCTATGGTCACATTGACACCATTGTAAGGAGCACGAGTTTCCATGCACATTTCATTTGATAAGTCTCCATTCCCTAACAACAACCGGTTTAAGCTACATTATGATAACATCATACAGATAATAACCACCAATTAAATAACAAACAGAATCTCATAGTGTAACTCTAACGCCCTGTCCCAAATCGTTTCCCATTTGGGTGTAGGTGACGTAATTTAGATGATCCGGGTGTTCGGTTTGTATTTTGTAGCCAATGAGTATTTTGGTAAAGCATCAGCTCAAGTTTTTATGGAAAATAGATTGTTATTCGAGAAATTTTAAGGCATGTATGAGTTGATAAAAGTTTAGAGCTTCTCATTACCTTTTCATGGATATAAGAATCGTCGAAATCAGATTTATAATAAAGAAGTTATAACCCTAGTATGTGGGGGCGTACATACGGAGTACGTAGGGCGTACTAATGCGAGGTCGAGTACGCGGGGCGTACACTAGCGTACGTTGAGCGTACTAAGCAGATATGGTCGCATATGCAATGCCTTGTAAGCTGGGTGTACGAGGGTTACGCTTAGCATACAAGGGGATTAAGAAACCCTAATTTTAGGGTGTTGCACCCTATACAAGGTCCTTAAAATCCCTAGGGTTAGCCTCTTTATCAACCTCTATTGCCATAATGTAACGACCCAAAAATCATTCCGTTAGTGACGTTAGTCTTTCGTTACTCGAATAGTTGTTATAGTAAAATAATTTCGATTTAGGATTATGAAATGAAATAAGTTAAATAAAAAAGGTTAATATGAATTAATCAATATTTTATAATTTCTATAACTAAATTAAATTATATGAATCAAATGTTTAATATAAGGGAGGGTTAGAATTAATTCAAACAAAAACAAAGGGTGGATTATGAATAATTAAGCAAAGTTAGAAGGTTAATGTTGTAAATGTGGGATTTAAAACCATTTAAGGCTAGTAAATATGCTTCTATCGTTTCTTTTAATAATAAAAAAAAAGAATAAGAAAATAAGAGAAAGAAACTTAAGGGATATAAGCTGTAAATTGCATTTAAAAACACAATTAACCAAACGTCCATTTCTTCCCGACGTTCCTTCACCTCTTGCCCGATGGTTACGACCCATATTTCTTAACCCAATTAAGTGCTCATCATCCTCTCTCGGTGAGTAGTATATGACGAGAGAGATAGAGATCGTGGGAAACTGAGAGAGTGTCGAGATGGTGGTGCAAATTTCCAGCATGGCTAGAGACTCCGGAGAAACGACTCTGTTTTCCGGCACCTAACTGCAACTCCGACCGCCACCTTTATGGTTGAACACCCTTACGAATCGCTCTGGAGAAACTGTGAAAAATCAAAGTAACAACCAGCGACAATGAGGCTGTGAAGCTTTTCCGGCAAGACGAGACAAGTATCTACGTTTATAGTGGAAGAGGGGCTGAGTAGGGATGAAGGAACATGAGTTGGTCCTATTCGCGAGGTCAGAGGTACCTATATCTTTGCTTGAACTATTTTATTAAAATAATGCATGTATATATAATAATATAATGTTATATGAACCTATATATGTTTGTATATTCAATATGTCGGATATACGTAGACAGATAACACAAAGAAATTTAGGATGTGGTAAGGTTAATCTATGAATTATTTGAAAATGGTCGTAAGTGATAACTGTAATTAAACTAATGTGGCAAT